CCGTTCGCACAGGGTGATGATAGAGTACGCGATCACTGCCATTTGACCGGAAGATATAGAGGTCCCGCGCATTCGAACTGTAATTTAAATTATAAAAATTTATATTATATTCCTGTGGTCTTCCACAATTTATCCGGTTACGATTCGCATTTCATTATCAAAGAAATAGCTACGGCGTACGAAGGACATGTAGAATTGCTTCCAATTACGAAGGAAAAATACATTTCCTTCACCAAACATGTCGCGGGCATCGCTGAAAAATCAGATTGGCGAAATCGTATGAAATTGCGATTCATCGATTCATACAAATTTTTAACTGCAAGTCTCGACAAACTAGCGTCTCTTCTCAGCATGGATAATTTGAAAATTACACGTTCAAATTTTTCAAAGTTATCGGTGGAAGATTTCAATTTATTGACGCGAAAGGGTGTCTTTCCGTACGAGTACGTTGATTGCGTCGAAAAGTTGGAGGACACATGTTTACCACCGCGCGAATCATTTTACAGTTCCTTGACCGGTGACACTGTATCCGAGAACGATTACGCGGACGCTGCGAACGTCTGGCGACAGTTTGCCATTCAATCCTTGGGCGAGTACAGCGACCTGTATTTGAAAACGGATGTCATGTTGTTGGCTGACATTTTTGAAAATTTCCGAGACAAGTGTATCGAGAGTTATGGTCTCGATCCCGCGTATTATTACACATTACCAGGATTCACGTGGGACGCCATGCTTAAACATACACGTATAAATTTCGAACTCCTCACGGACATTGATATGGTCATGTTTATCGAGCGCGGTATACGTGGCGGTCTGAGCCAATGCTCCAGTAGATATGCGCAGGCTAACAACAAATATATGCACTCGTATGATCCATCGAAAGCTTCCTCATACTTGATGTACTTTGACGTAAATAATCTATATGGATGGGCAATGTGTCAACCATTGCCATACGCCGAATTTCGATGGGTCGACGATGTTGCACATTTTGACTTTAGTGCGATCGCCTCGGACTCGCCCACGGGTTACATTCTCGAGGTCGATCTCGAGTACCCACAAAGTATACACGATGAGCACACTGACCTACCGTTCTGTCCAACGCGCGATAAGCCGCCTGGCAAGCGGCAGGCAAAACTTCTGGCGACTCTATATTGCAAGAAGCGTTACGTCATTCACTATCGCAACCTGCAGCAATGTACGCGTCATGGTCTTCGCGTCACAAATATACATCGCGTACTACAATTCGCACAATCCGCGTGGCTCCGCGATTATATTGAACTAAATACACAATTTAGAACGCTTGCCAAGAACGATTTTGAGAAAAATTTGTATAAATTGATGAACAACGCAGTATTCGGCAAAACTATGGAAAATGTGCGAAATCGCGTCAATGTAAAATTAATAACTAAATGGGAAGGT